CGCTCTGCCCTACGAACCGAGATATTTAGCGTTAAAGTTCGAGATTTTAGAGGTTAAGATATCTGTTTTTAAAAATAACAAATTACTGTTTTAGAAACACAAAAACACTGCTTTAAAAATATAAATTCACTGCTTTAAAACAATAGTGGAGTCCCCCCACAGGGGGGGCGGAATCCACTGTATCCACGCAAATAGAGAGCCTATAATCAGAGTGGCGCCATACGGGTATCACTTGTGATTGGTCCGCCATGTTTTAGCTATTCCCCTATAGTATACGTGACGCTCCCTATATAAAATGCGCGCATATGTGTGAAACGGAACGCAGCCTATATCTCTTTCTCTCTCGCAGAATTTCGCTAAAACATGGCGTAATCTTCCTTATGTCGCCACTCTGATTATAAGCTCTCTACACGCAAACAGTTTTACAACGTAGATATAACATGCGTGGATGCAGTAAGTTCCGCCCCTCCTGCGGGGAGGTTCCACTATTGTTTTTAAAGCAGCGAATTGTTGTTTTTACAACAACAGTACAATCATAAAGGGACTGAGGGAGCGGAACATACTGTATCCACGCATATTACTTCTCCGTTAAAAGTGTATGCGTGGATGCAGTGGGTTCTGCCTCCCCTGCGAGGGGGGCTCCACTATTGTTTTAAATTAAATTGTTTTTTAAAGCAGTGAATTTGTATTTTAAAGCAGTGTTTTTGTGTTTCTAAAGCAGTAATTTGTTATTTTTAAAGCAGTGACAGATATCTTAACCTCTAAAATCTCAAACTTTAACGCTCAATATCTCGGTTCGTAGAGCAGAGCGACACTTTTTTCTGTCAGATTCTTTCGTTTCATGCAAAAACGCGTCGAATAAGCCTAATTTGATCGATTTTTAAGCTGCTTGAGTGATTCTGTATAATTACCAAAAATCTTCTTAAACCATCTTAAACAAAATGTAAGTTGTAAAAAGAAATTATACTGCACATTAAATGCACATGTCAAACAAGGTTTGTTTGACATGCGCAGTCACGAATTGAAAACGACTATCAGAGCGACAGAGAGGACTAATGAAGCGCAAGAGTGGGGAAAGTTATCCGCCGTCACTTTTTGGCTTACCCCCTCTACCGATATTTGGCCGAGTTGACTCTCCTGGTTCTAGTCAGTTCTAGTCTTCTTGCTTTCTTTCTTATCGCGCGAAGCCATTCTCGCCAATCGCTTTGACGTTGTCAACTTTCGCAGTTTTGATTTTTCACTACTTACAAATTTTTGTAATGGCGTCGCGTGCTAATACTGACTCGAATCACGGGGTCGCATAAAAAGTTCTCGTCCTTTTTCGCGTTGAATCTTCACCGACGATCACAACATATCATTTCGAATTAATTGATTCGTAAATCAACTTTCGCATTAGAGAGAGAGTTAAACTCGCGTCGCGTATTGAATTATTAACTCGAATGAACGTGTTTCGTGTGCTGGCAACGAATAGGAAATGATCTCGTGCCGGACGATTACTTTTTCAGTCGTGACACGCATGCAAAGTCACGATTCCGCCATTCAGGGGATGAGATTCATGCTCAGCAGCCGTCGCGTTCGAAAATAGTCGAGCTGGCTATCGACGTCACGTATCATCTCGTCTATATGTTCAACCTCGAATGCACGCCCGCGCACGGCGAACCGACCGATTTTCTCGAACAAGCGAAAGTCAAAGTTTCTTTATTTAAAGCTCCGGAAGGATGATCCAGATAATCTATTATCGTGGGTGGACGCGCTCGTTCCAGCACTCGTTCTTCTCCTTGCGTTTTCTGTTGGCAGCTCAATTATTCGTCGTGGAAATGATTGGTGAATGCGCTTCCCGTTTCTATTTTTCCTAATTCGTGTATAATATTATTGTTAAACGTTAAAATGCTTCCGATATTACATTGTCGTGAATGTCTATAAATATGTCTATAAATTGAAGATAATGGCTTTAGTAGAAAAAAACTGTTGTACAAAATGTAAAATTCGCTTTAATATGATTTTTAATGTTTTCTCACGAATTTAGATGTATAAATAATTGCAATCATATTAAAGAATTTTACAATAGAAAGTTCATTTTTCTGTTGTATGTCAATGTTGTTTATAAAGCTTAAATCTTTTTTGGAATCTCGATTCTGGCATAACATTTCCTGTGCTTGCATGTTTGCAAGAAATTTTGAATTCATAAATAATGCGCGCGAATTTCTGAAATCGTTACTAGTTACAATTAGAGACATAGGGTATTACAGTGATGGAATCGAAGTAAACAAGTAATAAGCTGTTGTTACAAAAAATTATATTTTTAATTTTAAACACTTTTTTTAAATACTTCCCTTTCCTCTCATATTGTAATTCGGAATTTCATTTATTTCATTCCTTAAATATGAAACAGTTATTTATATCGAATGCGAATTTTCAAATGAACATTTTCTCTAATAACGTTTATAACAGAACTTTTTGTAAACCAATTTTGGAAATGTTTGTCGACTTTTGGAAATCAGTCGATTTTAAAATTATTTATTTAAATAATTTAATTAATATTAATTTTATTCAACATCGACGGCCTTACACAAATCTTAATTAATTTTATTCATTAATTTGTTTATTATTTGAAATGTTTGAAAAATACATACTTTTTTACTGATATTTGCTGATAATCGAATTTGCAATTACGACATTACTTCTTGTCAATTAAATTAGACTCAATTTAAACATACAGCAGTAGATGTTAATAAAGATTTCAAAACTTTTGCAATATTCATTCGGCATTGTGCAGTATCCATCAAAGCACTCGCGCGGTTAGCGCTTGGTTCCGCCGCACCTGACGGCGCGGAATTCACGTCCTGTGATTGGACAGTTTCAAAGGCTCACCATTTAAAAACTAATGATCCCACAACATTTTGCTATTGACATTTTCGACTCAGTTTTTCATGAGGAATATGAACGTGCCGGCTCCTCCGTTTGGTCTGAAACACCCTGTATAGTCAAAGACTGGAACGGTACTAGTATAGATCAGTACAGTCGACATTTTCACAAGTGCAAGAGTACTGAAGAACGTAAAAGAACGCAATAGTGCAATGACTAATATGGCGCCACATAAGAAATATCGAAAATATAGAAATGATGGAATTTTGGTTTACTAAAATGTTGCCTGCTGCGTCTCTTTGCATAAGCGATTTCAAAATTTTTCGTACTGATATTTATTTCTATAAATATGTTATATTCATAATATTTATATATAATATTTATTTATAATATTTATACAGGGTGGCTGAGAATAACCGCATATTATTTCATGAGTGGGTAGAACAGACTATACTGAGTCGAAAAGTCCTGTACCATTTTGCGATTGCAGTAATAGTTAACGAGATATTAATTTATAAAAATATTTAAATTCGCCCGGCCCATTGTCAAATGCAAGCGCGCGGCTGGATAGGACCGCCCTGCAAAGCGCGCCGCGCGCGTTTGCGTTCGCCGTCGCTAGGCACGCGACTCATGTCTAGCGACGACTATTGCCGCTTGTTATAAACAACGCTTGTTATAAACAACGCCTAGCGACGGCGAACGCGCCCGGCGCGTTTCGCTGGGCGGTCCTATCCAGCCGCGCGCTTGCATTCGACGGTGGGCCGGGCGAATTTAAATATTTTTATAAATTAATATCTCGTTAACTATTACTGCAATCGTAAAATGATACAGGACTTTTCGACTCAGTATAGTATGTTCTACACACCCATGAAATATTATGCGGTTATTCTCAGCCACCCTGTATAAGCAAACATAAAAATTAATTCTGAATTAAAAGCAGTAATGTTAAACATCAGAGTAGTATAAGTAAAGATATACTATAATACATATACATGTATAGTATGTATAATTAATTTGTATTTATTTTTATGTTTGCTTTGAAATTAATTTGTATTAATTTTTATGTTTGCTTATTGTATAAATATTATAAATATAACATATATATATGTATATATGTGTAAATATTATAAATATAATATATACATACATATATGTGTGTGCGTAAGATACATTAATATATTTTTTTGGTAAATGTGTCGATGAGGGGACCCCCCTCCAATGACTTTGACCTTGACATATGTTGTCAAGGTCATGACCCTGAGTAACCTCCAACAGGTTTTAGCCGTCGCTCGTCCTTCGTTAAAAAGTTATTAACAATCATACCTTTAAAATAAACGTATTATTTCTGCTATACATGTATGATATGAAGTACTAATCTACACCTTTTCCTGTTCAGAAACGTTGAACTTTCCACGCGAAGTAA